TAGGGGACACTGGGGGGGGCACATGTCACGTCTGGATTGGGGGTGGGGACACCGGGGGGGTCACATCACCTCTGGACTGAAGGTGGGGACACAGGGGGTCACATGTCACCTCTGGATGGAGGGACACTGGGGGTCACATGTCATCTCTGGATTGGGGTGGGGACACCGGGGGGGTCACGTCACCTCTGGACTGAGGGTGGGGACACAGTGGGGTCACATGTCACCTCTGGATGGGGGGTGGGGACACTGGGGGGGTCACACCACTGTCACCGGAGGAACTCAGACATTTACTGTGGGAGAGCAGTATTATTAGGTGCCCAAAATTTATAAGGATATCTGATTCCAATACTAGCCATTATGTGAAAAATTGTGAATTATAAGGGTCACGTCACCTCTGGACTGAAGGTGGGGACACAGGGGGTCACATGTCACCTCTGGATGGGGGGACACTGGGGGTCACATGTCATCTCTGGATTGGGGTGGGGACACCGGGGGGGTCACGTCACCTCTGGACTGAGGGTGGGGACACAGTGGGGTCACATGTCACCTCTGGATGGGGGGTGGGGACACTGGGGGGGTCACATGTCACCACTGTCACCTCTGCAGTCCTGGAGAGACGTCACACATGACCATGATGACAACACAGGTGTAACCAAGATCACAGTGATGCCACCAGGACATGGCTACACGTTCCTCTGTTCTGCCTAAACACGTGGCCAACGAGGCTCCTCAAAGGCCTAGAACACATGGCCAATGAGGCTCATCAGAGATCTAGAACCCATGGCCAACAAGGCTCATGAACGGCCTAGGTCACACGGCCAACAAAGCTCAGCAAAGGTCTAGAACACATGACCAACAAGACTCATCAAAGGTCTAGAACACACGGTCAGTGAGGCTCCTCAGAGGCTCAGAGATAACCTCATGGGTCTGTCCAACTCCCTGACAGGGGCTGAAGAGAGGTGTGCCACGGCTGCAGGGAGATGACTAGAGGGAATGGCCATGGAATCTAGTCCAGGGAGGTGGTGGAGTCACCAGCCCTGGAAGTCTCCAAGAGGCACCTGGATGTGGCACTTTGAGCTGAAGGGTCACAGCAGCGACAAGTTAATGGTTGCAACTGATCATCTTAGAGATCTCCTTGATGATTTTGTGACTCTATGGCACCAGAACACTATGACATATCATTTGTCCCCAACAGTGTCACACAGTGCCATCACCTGCAGCCACACGTCCCTTGTGTCACCGCCGTGTCCTGGCACTGCTCTCCTTGGTGTCCCCACGGGGGTGGCTGTGTGTCCTCGTTGTCCTGGGTGTCCCCTGGGCGTCCCCACGGGGGTGGCTGTGTGTCCTCAGTGTCCCCACGGGTGTCCCTCAGGCCTGCGTCCCCTTCCCCTCGCGCAGCCTTTGCTTCAGCTCAGCTATCGCCCTGCGCTGTGGGGACAGTGACATCAGGGGACATGGGGACGGTGGGGACCAGGGGACATGGGAAAATACAACATGAAGATAGGTGACATGGGGGCATCAGGGGACACAGGGACAGGGGACAGGAGGATAGGGGTCGGGGGACAGGGGACATCATAGGACATAGGGATGGGGGGATAGTGGAGACAAGGGACACAGGGGACAGGAGGACAGGGGACATGGGGACAGAAGTGTCCCCAGGCGTCCCCTCTGTCCTTGAGGGTGGCACTGGCAGGGGCAGGACACCAGGGGGACACTGGGGGGTGTTGGGGACACTGTGAGGGACACTGGGGGGACAGCCCAGGGATGCTGGGGACACCGTTCTCTTACCCTCTCAGGGTTGTCAGGTGGGAAGATGTCCCTCTGGAAGGAGAGAGAGTGAGGGGACAGGGAACAGGAGACACAGATGACATCCCTGTGGGTAGGGACAATGTCACCTGTATTCCTCCCTGCCCCTGATCCCTGCTGTCACCTTGCGCTGAATCACGTAACGTTGGAAGAGGTCAGCCTGGTTGGACACCCAGAACAGTCCCACGGGGAAGGACAAGTACAGCACCATCTGAGAACAGTGACAATGTCACCTCTGCCCTCCCTGTGTGCCCTCCCTGGTGCCCTCAATTACCCCCCCCGGGGTTATTGCCCCCCAGCTGCCCCCC